AAAAAAAAAAAAAAAAACAGAATGAAATAAAAAAACGAAACGCATGCACAACATGTACGACGCTCGTTCCATACCTGCTTAACAATGTTTAGGGCCAATTCCCTGTCGTAGACGTAGTTTGCAATTAAGCGGTACGCATATTGCCTGTTATCGTCATGCTTTTTTGCAAAGGTTATTATCCTGTCCACCTTCCTTCGAGCCTCCTTTGCCTTGGCTTCTGTTGTTACAATTTTACCATGTCTCAGCAGCTGCGCAAGAGTGGGGAAAATCAATTCGTGCAGTTATTAGCAAATTTCGTGTGTATGCAGGCACACGAGTACACTTATTTCAATTCTCTATTTAGCATAGGCGTCTACCCACATGTGAGGTGTACATACTGGGGGGCGATATAAACGTGGGTATGCGAAACGTACACTGGTGGTTAAGGCTCTAAGAAGGGCTCTCCTTTGCGCTCTGTCTCTCCCCAATTTCCTGAAATTTTTGTTGGTATGTGCCAGGAGTAAGTTACTTCTATTACGCAAAACCGTTTTGAAACTACTTCTGTTTAGTACGGCTTCTCCGGACATACTCTTCTTTAACACATAAGCCAGCAAATTTTTGAAGAGAAAAAAAAACAATACGTGAATCTTCATTTGTTCATTTTAGGCAAAAAGTGAAGATGAGGCGGACATCGAAAGTGGCTGGAAAGGCGAAAGCTCTGCAAGGGTAGCAAATGTGCAGAGGGTCACTATGAAGGTATATCATACCCCACAAAAAACACAGGATCAATGTTACCAAGGCGCCTAAAACATGGGGGGATAAACAAATGTAGGCTAGGCAATAGGTTGGTCACGAACTGGTGTAATACAGCATAAGCTGGACATTTCGAAGTTTCCCAATTCTCACATAAGTATAAACGGTCCCTTAAAGAATTGAGAATGGACTCATACATGCAAGTTATAGATGATGTACTCAGCATTGCTGCTAAACGTGGGTAGGGAAAAAGTTGAAGCAAAATCTTTTATATCTTCCCCTTTACAGAAAAATGTATACCATAATGGTTACACCCTGCCCATATTGCACTTAAAGGCGACATTTATTTAACCCGTTCTCGTAAGTTAAAAAAAAACAAGAAAAAAAAAAAGCGCGTTGAAGTTAATGTGACAATGAATTTCTGCCACATAAAGGCACCTTTTTGCCTGGGGTATAACCGTACCCATGTGTAAGTAGTGGGAACAAACACCTTAAAATTTATTTCGTCAAATTTAGCACCAGGAAATTGTGCTTACCATTTTGGTTAAAGAATACAACATTTAAAACGGAATTAAAAATATTTATATACGCACAAACACATGGACAAACGATGGGTGTAAAAAGTGGATAGCAATCAACACAGAAAAAAAAAAAAAAAACAAAAACAAATCAGAAACCTTTTTTGTGGAGCTGTGCGCACACCTCATGGGTAAAAATAGGCCAATTTATTGTCACACACACAAAAAAAAAAAATACTTGTGGGGAACCTCTTCCCTCTCTGCGTGTGGCATCAACATAGAGGGATTACCATGAGGGCAAAGACGCCCATAGAATGGCAAAGGTTTGCTGCTTTATTCATAATTGTATTTAGAAAAAATGGGGTATAAAACGTTCACCCCAAAAGGGGACGTAAGAACAAATAAACACACGTGGGTGATACATAACATATATATACTCCTATGCATATACCTGTAAGCATATGCCACAAACGAAGAGGTTGACAACACGTGGCAGTGAAAGGCAACGAAAAAACACACTGCGCTGCCGAAGCGGAGGAATAAAACGTGGCTAGTAGCCTCAATGAAAAAGTGCTTTTGCGCAGCTCGATACGTAGAAATCCAAGTGTGTGTCCCTGTAGTTACTTCTCCGCTGGGGGAACTTCCCAAATGATCTAACATTTGTGTGTAAGCCTCCTCTCTGGCCACAAGCAGTACACTAGCTACGACGCTCCTTTCACTGCTCTCACTACGCACCCTTGTCGTGTCTGGTCGTCTTCTTCATGAAGCTCTTGCCCCTTCTCATCGCGGCTACGGTGTTATGCACCTTCTCTGTTTCAAAATCCGCACGCTCCTGAACCCTGGAGAATCGCTCAAAGTCGCCGATGAGCGTGTTGGCAAATCCTTCCGTAATGGACGCAAAAAGGTTCAGCAGGCCAAAAATTGGTGCAAATATGCACCTGAGAATACACCCTATTGTGATGCACACAGTTTTTAGAGTGCTGTTTCCTTTGTTCAGAGATATCTTCGGGTCATTGAATAACGAAACCCAAGGTCTGTAAAATGTATCTAGCAGCAACCCATCCAATCCGAGAATTATAGAATCTAAGATGCTTGGTGGTCGTGGCCTTGATCCTCCCATTATTTTATGACACACATTTAACATATGACTTAAAGTTTGAAATAAGCCTCCAACGGTGTTAACAACAAGTATAATAATTCCGCACTTAAATCCGGACATGAATCCATCGAAGAAATTCGAACTGGTTTTAACTCCCCTAACCGTTTCTTTAAATAGAGCAGTGATTCCTTTTATGAACCCTTTAATAAATGCAAAGGGATTGGATAACCATGCGCTGGGTAAAGACTGTCTCAAGAGTTGTCTGAAGTAAGAAACTTTTAACGACTGGATTAAGCCATCCCATGTACAGACGATATAATTCCTCTTTTGCGAAATCAAATGTATTTTCATGGAGGGAGTATCGACGGGTAGTGCATCCACAATGTGTAGTATTCTCCTTGAAATCCTATGTTCTGAAGTCCTTATAGAGGCTATAATTTCAATTGGGTTAATTTTGAATTCCCTAATATATACAGGTTTGCTCTTATTGTCCATCCATCTCGGATTTGGGTGTAAAAATAGGTGAGAAGAAAATGCATTCATAAAAATTTTCTGATTTCTAAAGTACTGAATCTTTATTGGCAACACACGCTCATCATTCATGTTATTAATATCGTAGTAAGTATTGTTGATCAAATTATGCACCTTCTTGTACTTATAGTAACCTACTAACATTTTGCATATTTTTTTATGTACATTCCTGCTGTTCTTATTTTTGCTGCACATATTTGTTGATATGGAGCTGTTGGTGGAGTCCTCAGAACAAATCTTCTCAGTGATGTTATTAATGTTGATTATTCTATTCTGTGTTATCATTCTAATTTGTGGGGAGCTAAAATAATATGAATAAGCATTTGGTTTAATTTCCGCTTCACTTTCCTTCGCGTATTTATGTTCATAGTTACGTATGTTCTTGTATTTACTTTCATTTTTATTCGCAGAATTTAGGATGATGTTATTATTCACAATTTGGTTGTTTTTCAGGATGAAGTCATTCTCCGTTGTTCTCCTCATATAATCATCCATGTATATCATTTTGAGAAAGTTGGCGTCGGAAAATATTTTCAGCGTTGTGTTAATGGCATTTCTAGCCGTTTCTGATGTCGCAATGAGTGGTGGTAATGATTTGTCTTCCCGTTCGTACAGCAATAACAGCTGCTTTTCCTTTTCTATAATTTCTATTAATTGCTCAATGACCAATAATTCGATGTTTGCATTTATCGGGGAGATCTTAATCATTATGCTTTGATATATCGGGGCCTGCTTAAACGAGTCCACACAGTACTGCTTCACATGAATATATAAAAATGTGTCTTCATTCTCTTCAATGTTGGTATTTTTCAGGATGACGGGGATGTCCCCTTTTACAAAGTGGTCTATATGAATCTGCTCGATCACGAAAATGGAGTCTACATAACTGTTGAGAAAAACGTACTGCACGTATTCTTCCACTTCTTTCCTTTTTAAAATGTTGATGGGCGTGAACATGTTATTTATGTCATAGTTTATAATTTCCTTGGGGTATATATGGCCACTGTATTTTAAATTTGACAAGTGAATAGCAATTATCACGTCTTGTCTATGAATCCATGTGACGGTTAATCTGGGGATGTTAATTTGGTATATCACAGGAACGATTGGAAAATTGAAATATACAAAATTCATTTTTTTATAATCCAACATATATTTCCTATTCGCATTTTTATTTGATAATAAAATTTTCTTCCTCCTACTTATGGCAATTAGCCTATGAATTTTACTGAAATTTTTGGTGCTCACAATTTCCCTTGCTAGGCTATACTTTTCTGTAATCACAATAGCTCTGCTGCCATTATCTCTTATAATCAAAAAGGAGTATAACTTTTTGTTGACCAAGTTATGTCCTAGGAACATGTTATCCTTTTCAATTTTCTGTCTTCTCTTCCAATCTTCTTCCTTTTCTCCATCCCCGCTAAAAATGCGGTTCTCCTTTTCTACCTCTGCACAACTATCCTTAGTTTGTAATTCCGCCAAAACGACATTCCCCCCGTCACTTCTATGCAGGTGTGTATTTTGTGCATTTCTTCGACTTGTTATAAAGTATACGTCCTCCCCATTTTTGTGGCTATTTCTCCTACCCTTAAATTTCTTCTCCGATGAAAGTTTATTCTCCCCATACACTCTATAAGGCAACATAACTACATTGTCAATGAAGGAGTTGATAGTATTGATGCACCAAGAGCTTTTCTGTACGCCTACAATTTTCAGGGCAATTTTAGACGACTCAATTTCGTTATTGTTCCTAAGCGTGTAGTAAATGGAGCTGTATGGATAAATCATTTTTACGGGAAAATCTCCATTCTTTGTGCTTCTCCTCAAATATGTATCGTAGTTATTGTTCATATACTTCTTTGTGTACTTATTCACATCCGTTGCATACGCTATGATAAATTTTGTGGCGTTGATAATTTCGAATTGGGGTCTAACCGGTAAACTCAAAATGTAAAAATAGCCATTGTATGTGTAGGGCAATTGTTGCTTGTCTCCAAAAATGCCACTGCATACATTTACTTCTACCAATAAATTGTTTGTGTTATTTATCTGCGATTTATTTATGTTGAATAATTCGATTTGGAAGTTGGATGGGACATTTTTCGGGATTAGGGAAAATGGCTGCGAGCTGTATTCCTCACTGGAGTCCTTTATCTTTATGTAACTCCTGTGGTAATGAAAAGCTGTGATTTCTCCACTTCTAATATACGTCTCATTTTTATTTGTCGCTCCTTCATCATTTGCGTTTTTACTATTCGCACCATATGGTTGCTCTGTCTGGTTTACCTCCCCTGTTGGTCCTTCACCATTATCATAATTTCCACAGCTTCTATTCACAATCAGGTTGCTGCTACCGTCGATATGGCCTACATGTTCGTTAAAGCTGTTATCGTTTATGTTGGACGTTTTTCTATCACTTCCCCTTGCCGTAGTTCTCTCCATTTTGGTATCCTCAATTCGGATGGCTTCCATATCTATATCTGCCGTTTGGTCCTTGCTTACATCAAATTTGCAATTTTCCGTCCCCCTCGACACATCACCCACGTTACTTGCGAACACGTCTTTTTCCATCGTGTCGTTTCTCAAAGATTTAATATTGTGCACACTTTTGCTAACGCTGAGGGCATCTAATGGGAGCATTTCCTTATAAGCGTTGTTTAAATCTGAGTGAAGTGCTGCATTATGGATTGCAAAAATGCTGTCTGACTTTCTAACCGAATCGGTAGCTATTTTTACGTCAAATGGAAGCCTATTTATGAATATGTAGCTATTGACAAAGGTAACAATTTTGGATTTACTAAATGGCTCCTCAGCATATCTGACGCAGACTCCTAAAGACAGGAATCCTCCTTCGTAATAATCTTTTTCCTTCATTTTCGACTTTCTGTGTTGTCTCTTACTTATGGAGATACGCCTCAGTGAAATTCTTCTTTTCACGTGCGGTTCGTGGTTCACGTGGTCTCCAAGTTCCTCCCCAGCATCTACCTGAACATCGTTCCTGTTCAATCCAGAATGCAGGTTCCTTTCCATGAAGGATACCCTGGTACGGGAGCCACCTTCATTTTCTCCTCGCCAAGAAGACTTCCCTTTGCTTGCGATTTTGTTATAATTGTTGCTCTCTGAGGAACTGCCATCCAAATTGTACTTTGCAGAGGATAACCTTGCATTCTTTTCGTGGCTAACCGATCCAGTGATTACCTTCCCCTTGTGTCTACTATCGATGGAGCTGAAAAAAGGGGTCATTCTGAACCGCTTTTTCTGGTACATGTTTTCCCCCCCTTTCCTGAGTTTTGAATTGCTCTTTTCGCTCACATTGTCTTGCTCATTTTCGAGCTCATTCTTATTTGAGGCTTTTTTTTTCTTTTTTTTTCTGTTCTTTATTAGACGGAACTTCAAAATGTCGTGCTTGTTCTTCTTGCTCTTGTTCTCACGGAGCGGATCATCCTCTTCGTCTACGCCCGCTTCATCTTCCTCCTCCGCTTCGTCCACTTCTTCCCCGTGCTCTATTTCCTCCTTTTCCGTTTCGATCTGATCATTCGCGTTATCGTCGGAAATGTCTTCGTCAAATTCGGAGCACTTGCTTGTTTCTTCCTTTTCCTTGAACAAATGGAAAATGCTAAAACTTACCTGCGAGGCGAGGAAACCTCCTGTGGATTTTTCATTTTCTGAAGAGGAGGAATCGTGTGTGCCTTTTTCCCCCTGGGACGACAAATCCTTCTTTTTCTTCTTTTTCCCTTTTCTAAAATATTTCTGTCCCAACTTATCAAGCGAGTACAAACTTTTGATGAAAAATTTGTTGCTTCCTTTTCCCCTCCTGGAGTAGCTGAAGTTGGTCCTCTTCATGTTTTTCCTCTTCTTACTTTTTTTTTTCAACTTGCTATCATTATCATGCTCATCGTAGTAACTGCTATCGACGGAGTCCTCATTTCCATCGTTGTCATAGGGTTCTCTCCTCTCACCCAGATGTTCAGAATATTCTTCTTCCTCTCGCTCGGCATTTATTTTGTCTCTTTTTACACGCTTATGAAATAATCCAAATTTTCTAATTTTTTTAAAATTGCTAATGGAGCCTGAAGATTTCTGACTCAATTTTTTTCTTCTCTTAAATAGGGTTTTATTACTCATGAGCATTTTTTTGAATGCATTTTTATAAGACTTGTGTGTTTTTGACTTTTTGGTAGTTTCGCTCTTTGCCTTCTCATTTCGATCTGCTGATATTTCAGAGAACTTGGAGTTACAATAATATAAATCATCCTTGTTCTGGGGCAGATAATCTGTGTCATTTAAAATTTCTGAACAGGTTATTTTGTCTGTCTTTTGTGAGGGATTCTGTGGGGTGCCTTCACCTAGTTCGTTTTGTTTGTCTTCCTTGTTTGTCTCATTTGTGAGATCTTTTCCGGAACCCAGAGCGTGCGAGTCATTCGTGTTGTGCGCATTTTTCCTCTCTCCTTCGGTGTCTTGTTTATCAACCTCGAAATCATGATCATTAATTATATTATCATCTTTGTTCTGCACTACTCTTAATTTGAATTCTCTTGTTGATTTCAGCATATCTGCGTCATCCCCAGAAGTGTGCTCTTCTTCGTCCGCAACGGCAGGCGCGTTCATTACGTTGCTGTTTTTCCTTCTCCTCTCTTCATATTTTTCCCAAAATCGTACCTTTGGCTTTCTGTTGATTTTTCTATATATCAAATTTATCAGCGGTCTTATCATATTAGTCCTCGTGCAGTCAATCCTACCACTGACATTACTACACAGAATTAAATTATTTTCACAATCATGCTTGTAAGACTTAATTCTCACACTTTTGGCTTCCTCCTCAGTCATGTATAAACGGCTATTGGGAGGCAACAACTTGTTATTTACGTAGATGCACACATTTGTGGTGTTTTCAAAAAAGAAGGGAAAATAGAAATCGATTTTTCTCCTAGACACATCAGCAGAAACAGTAATGTTTTTAAAAATGTGCAAATTATCATACACCTTCCTATTCATTTGACTTATTTTATTTTCGAAATAAATATATTTCAATTCTTCATAGGAGAACATATTTCCAATTAGACCAAACTTGTGATTCAGCACCTTGGTTGACGTAATCGTGTCAGTGTTTGGCATATAAATGTGAAAAAAACCTTCCGTTGCGTACAAAAAATTGTACTTGAAATTATTCCTGCTCTGGTAATTATTCTCCTCATTTCCGCCAAAACTGTGCATATTGCTTACATTATTTCTGAACAAAGTATCGTACATGCTGTTTTTTCTATTGGCGTTGGGACTATTAAAACCGGCGTTTTCACCATTCCTGTCATTGTTTTGAAATACCTTCATCATTTCTTCGTACATAAATCGACTGTCTTTGGTCACGTTGGACGCTCCTCTATTTCTGTACTGCCAGTAGTTCACGTTTTTTGCGTGCTCCTCCTTGATGTTGCAGGCACTTCCTCCATTGTTGCTGTTGTGGTTGCTGTGTAGGTTCTTTTCATCATTCGCGCGGAGGTTCGCGGCTGCGCTCGCAGCATTCACACCGCTGTTTTCACCCGCGCTGCTTCCCTGGTCGCCCTTCTTCATCGCGCTGTTCATATTTGCGCCGTAGAATGCCTCATTCCACTCGGGCAGCTTAACATCCTTAAAATCGTAGTAGTCCTTAATTTCATTGGCGTAGTCATATATGAAATTCATCTTCTCTATTTGCAGGCCATGGTAAAACACCTTCATGTAAAAGGCCTGTGTGCAGATGGGCAAGCACCAATAATGATGTGGAGGCACCATGGCGAACATTTCTTGCTTCTTCAAAATTTTTGTAATATCATCATTCATTTCATAGTTACGCTTGTGTAGAATTTTATCCTCTACCTGATTTTCCTGCTTATTTTTACTGATACTGAACAGTCCTTTTTTCTTCTTCATTCTAATAATGACTGTGATGGGGTTCGGTAGGTTATTCTTTATCGTAACCATGGGTTCTATGACAACGGTATAATTGTAGGAAGTGTCTTTTATATGTTGAGTTGGTACATCCTTCACTTTTACGAAGCAGTGAAACATTATCAAGCCTTGAAAAATTATTTCACATGGGGATATGTCCAATTTCTTCTGGTAAATGTTATTGTTATTAACGGTATATTTATTTAGTAGTTTGTAAAGAATATTAAATGGAACAGCTTCGATGTCCAAATTCTCTTCTCCTTCTTTATTGCTTTTTCTCAAATTTTTCATGTTATATTTTTTTTCTTTTTTTCTGAGTATTTTAATGTATGGTAAACTACAATCATACAACCAGAACAGAGGAATGGCTCTCTTGCTGAAGGGCAGTATGTTTATATAATCTCCTTTTTTCGATCCTTCCTTGTTCTTCTTTTTTTCTACATGTGTTGTGAATTTTTTATTATGATAATGATGGTGAATGTGATGATCATGCTGCTGATCGTGCTGGTAGTGATAATTTTTTAGACTGCCTTTGGTCTTATTTTTATGCTTTTCATTTTTTATTTCTGCATCCAAGGTTTCCCACGCAGAATAGTGCCCGTTGGATTTTCTATTCTTCTTTAGCTTCCACTTGAAATTTACACGCGGAAAATATTTCGATTTGCCTTCCTTGTATATTCTGAAATGCAGCCCCGAGTTGTTTTCTATTTGTATGCAGGTACCTATGGAGAGGCACCACTTGTTTCTTATAATTTCGGGCTCGACCAGTAAGTTGTGCTTTACCTGCAAAGTGTGGTGAAAATGAGAACCATGTTGTTAAGAAGTGGAATGAATTGCCACGTTGCGGGAACAGTGATGAAAAGACACCGCGCATCTGTATCATTGGTAGGAGAAAAGATCCCCTTCGAGATGTCTCCTCTTAGCTCCTTCCGCCACACAGCAGCAATGGTCAGGTTGCATGGGAGGGGTACAATTTTGCTAGTTCTTTTGGGAAGTCTCTCTGGGGAGCGCATTAGAGCTTAAGAATAGGGAAAAAGGTTGTTCGCTCTTTTGCGCTCCGTCTCGTTTGTCTTCACCCGCTGATATACTCTCCACTTACGTTCGGAACCTTATACGCGCGCGAGTACAAATCATCGGTGTATAGCACGCCGATGTAAATCCAGGATGGCTTCTTCTTTATTATGTTGATGATTTTATTGTCATTCCCCTGCTCCTTGTACAGGAAGGGCATTCGGTAAGTGAACTGATGCAGGATGTCATACACACTCTGCGTGTTGTCATAGAGGAGGTGCTTCTCATGCTTGGCCACTGAGTTATGCAGGTTCCTTCTCTTAAAACCAATTGTGCAAATATCCCTGAAAACGCTATTCAAGTCGTGTTCATTGGTTATAATGAAATCTTCGGAATTCCTTTTCATTTCGTATAATTCAGAATTCAACTTTTTCTTCTCCTTTTTCTTGTTAATACAAAAGTAAAGACACTCGCACGGAAACTGGTGGTATTCGTTCTTGTCTAAAATGTTCAGCTTCCATGTGTAGTTGTTATTCTTCGTCCTGGTTTTGTAAAAAATTATAATTTCTGAGTGGAGGTCATTGTAAATCTCAATGTTGGAGTTTTTCACGTCATTGAGGTCTTTCTTAAAATTTAAATTTGAGTATAAATATTTGTACAGGTACAGGAAGGATGTGGTGATGTTCAAGTTAATACTTGTGGTGTACAAGTGGACACGCAAAATAGGAAAATATTTAAACTTCTCATTTATTAAAAGCGTAAAGGTGATGGGGTTGATTATATTGTCCTGAATGTTGTACATATTGTCATACGTTTTTAAGCCTACTTTAAAAGTCAAATGCATTTTAATACAGTTTTTTTTTTTTTTCTTCTTCTCCTTTTTATTTCCCCACTGGAATTTGTACAGTTCGTCCTGAATGGCGGATTCTTGAGCGGACAAATCATACCATAAACTGTCCATAAACAAATTATTTTTCACTCTTTTCTTCATTTCGCTCTTTTCTGTAATAGCGTAGATATCTTCAAATTTAATTTTCTCCACTGTATCGTTCAGGTAAAAACCAACATGCTCATTCGTCTTGTGAAAGAAAAAATGATATTGATAGAGACAGGTAAACATGTAATAATTCAAGTCGTACAAATTTAGCGTTAATATATTTTCCTTGTTTAACTGGTGTATTTTGAGGCACACATTGTTTACACGGATTTTTATCCTTATCTTTATTCCCTTCTTGTGAAACATGTACGATTTGTTTTTCCTTATTTTTATTTCTTTGCCTTCTTCTGAGCTGAGCGCATCGAATTTGGTCATTATATTTTCTTCCATTCTGTTGTCCACCTCGTATATATCGTTCAGTTCGGAGGTCATTTCTCGGCTGATTTGATTCCCTACGTGTGTATGCATCGCTTCGTTCCCTTGTCCCATTTCGTAAGAGGCGCTGTTCTGGCGCTGTAATAGACCATATTCCTCCGAGAGTGACGAAATGTGCTGCTTCCGTTTGAATATTCGCTTCAAATTTTCCTTCTTCCTATTTGTCACGGGAGCGCATCTTTCATATCTGTACTTGTAAGGCTGGTACAAATACAGCAGGGCAGAAATAATGAAACATGATAAATTCTTTTTGTTCACTTCGTTCTCCTTGAGCATTTCCTCCTTCTTAATATTCTCGTTTATCTCCTGCTGTAGGGCCAGGTTCTCGTTCATGATGGGGCTACTTCCACTTTTGGGTAGCATAGACATGTCCTTCTCATGCGGGGACAACACCCCACTCTTATTGTAACTGATCCAATGTGTAAACTCTTTACTCATCCTTCCTCCAACATTACACGCATCCACATTGCCAATCTTGTTGGTGAAGTAAGTAAAATATTTGTAGTCGAAATATTTCTGTATATTACATAGATAATCGGGAAATGTATTATATTTAGAAAAAACGAACAAGTAGTAAAATAAGTTGGTGATATATTTATTGCTATATGTGTATAGACAATTTAGTAGCTTTAGAAAGACAAGTCCATGACATATAATATTCTTTTCGTCGTTAATATTTCTGATTATGGAAAATAGCTGACTGTACAGGTAATAGAGATTCTCTCGGTACTGTTCTATCTTCACATAGGTTTCCTTCAACGTATGAATAATTTCAGTGTACGTTGTATTTCTCTCTTCCAGGTCGATAAAATTCTGCATTTTTGCATAATAATTCATCATTTTTTTGTATATATTAAAATTTTGAATGAGGAAATATTTACGAACAGTGTATATGGTTGTGATATCATTGTTGATGTAATTTTCATCTTCCTCCATGTCGCGAACAAGTATCGTCTTTTCCCTAATCAGGTTATATACATCTCCTCCTTGCTCCTCATTTTGGGGGAAAGTTTTCTCGTTTCTCTCTTTATCAGTCTCCCCAATTAGTTCATTCATGTCATTAAAGGAGATGCATTTATTTTTGCCCTGTGACTTATCTTTCATTAAGATGCCTTCCTGTGTTTCCTCTGCTATGCCACATTTGCTCTTAGCATTTGGTGCGGTAGCCACTGAGGGGTGTCCATCCATTCCGTTATTCCTTTGCGAGGTTGTCCCAGTTGGGAGTATGTCATATGAGTCTTCCTGCCCATAAGAACCCTTAAGACTGTTAGGTGTGTACTCATCACATGAGTCAGTTGATTCCTTGGCACATTTTTCTCCATACAAACTCCTATACGATGTGTTCATCCGCTTCCTTACCTTCAAACTGTTGTGTAGAGTATTTTTGTCCGGAACCTTGAGCTTATTCATGCTACTTAAGTATACCCCATTTATTTTTAATTTTTCGTTCGATTTTTCAGTACACGTTTTGTCCTTGTGAAGAAATGGAAGCACATAAATATTCTTCACAAAGGAAGAATAAGTTCTGTAAAACCCTGTGTAGTATATATTGTAATTAAAATTGGTCTGTAGTTTATACATCTCCTTTATATTGTCTATGGTTAAATTTATGAGCAGTTCGTGGCAACTTACGTTAAAGGATCTTTTCCCTCTTATCGAATTTGCTAATACATACACACTGTTGATGCTGAGCAGCCAGTCATTTTCATCCTTAATGTTTGGCATAAATATATTATTGTTATGATTCAAAAAAATGTTAAACTTGTCTTTGTAAATAATTTTGTTCTTATTTTTCAATATAAACATTTTACTGTGTCTCGCAAATGCCTTCTTCTCCTCTTTGTGCTTTCGCGACTGGTTGCCGTCAAATTTCGACATGTTGCATTTGGACATATGCTCGGTGTTGTTGTGACGCCTTTTTTTCGCGTGCTCAGAGTACTCCGCCTCGTGCGTAGACGTGAAAGTTATGCTTTTCCTTGACGGATTGAATGGCTCGTTCTCTGTCTTGCAAGATAGATCATCGGTAATGCCTCCATTGATTAGGTATTTGTCTGCTTGCTTTTCCACACTGCTTGCTCCATCATTGGACTCTTCTTCTCCACTGCGGATGTCTGTTCTGTGGGTCAGATCACCAGGTTCAGCGTGATGATGGCTTCGCCTATGGCCCCTCCTCGTCCCACTTCTGATCATCCTCCTGGCCATCTTCACATCCTTCATCTCGTTGTAGTATATATTATAAAAGTTGGTGTTATCATAAAAAGCATATTCCATTTCGCTGCTGGACATTTTGTCGTTTCGATTGAGCAGTTTTTTCATGTACGCATAATTCCTATCGTTGTTAGAAGCGTCATGTGGATTATTTAAATCGAAAAATCCCGATTCGTATACAGATGCCCTGAAGTTGTTGCCGCTCCTGTACAATTTGAACTGATCATAAATATCATTAAAGTTGAAACACTTCCCTAACATGATGTTTACCTTATTTACTTCTATCTTAAACTTTGAGTAGTCCAATTTCTCCTGTTCCTTGTAATATGTGTCTACACTAAAAATGATAGAGAGACATATATTCCTATTGTTGTCTCTTATATTTTTCCTTTTTTGTTTTTTCTTCTCCCACTTGTGGTATTGATTCCATTTTTTTATTTTTTGTTTTGCCATTGTGTTAAAGAGGTCCTTCTCCCCAACATATCTATCTCCATAAATGTACATGTTACTATTTGACTTGCCTAAAAAGTGTGACAACGCTTTGTCTTTAACGTAGCTGTATTCACTTAGGGAGGAAGAGTCCACCAACATTTGGGAATCCGGCGTATTTCCCACGTTCAATTTGACCACATTTTTTCTCATCTCCTTTTCCTTAACATTATTCTTTTTCGTTCCCATGACTGCTGGAACATTTTCGTTAAAATCTTCTAAATCATTTTTGGAGGTCCTCCTTTTCGCCAGGTAAAAAATCTGCTTGTTGATTTTCCTATTCATAAATGTGTTGAAATAATTTTTGGATTTTTCCAGAATGTTCAGAATGTTTACGTTACTACCAGAGTTGGTAGAACTAGCAGATTTGATGCTCAAGTTTTGGTCTTCCTCCACTTGCTCATATGGGTTATCTTCTCCATAGCTGTTCGATTCACTTATTATACTTTTGCCGGATCCTCTGTTACCTCTCATTTGTTTTTCCCCCGTTGCTGATTTATGATTGTCCAGAGAGGACGACTCCAAAAAGTTTTTTTTTTTTTTTTTCTGTTTTTTCAGAAATGAGCTGACTCGTACATTTGTCTTCTTCTCATCTTGCACATTGAACAGGTCTTCCTGGATAACCCAGGTTTCGAACAGGTTCACCTTCATCTTTAAGGAAATGCATTTATTTCGAAAGCAATGTACATTGTCGAAAGAAGTTATCTGGTTGTTTGCTGAGCTGACCTCGGATCTGTCCTTTCCTTTATGCAGCACTGAGTTATACTCCGTGGAGAATAACTCATTCGACGTGTTCGAGATGATGTCTCTTTTTTTGTCATCGTCCTGATTCTTATTTCCCAACCCATGGGAGGATAACCTTCGGGTAAAAAGTTTTCTTATGGTAGTTTTTAATTTTGTAGAAAAGCCTTTAACTTCTTGAGCATTCTCCTTGATATCTTTCTTTTTCTTGTATTCCGCCGCTCCGTCATTGTTCATCTTATCATACGTAATTGACCCGGATTTTACAATAGCTTTTTGATTTGCCGCGCTGCCTAAGCTACTACCAGGAATGATCTCTTCATGTTCGTTCTTTATAGAAGCAGTGTTCACATTATCATGCATATTGTACTTTTCCATCTTGAAGTGATTAACAGGGAATGGTTCCTTTTTCCCCTTCCTTTCCTTCTCACCAGGACGATATGAAAGTTCCTTCCAACCTAGAAGCGAGTTTACTTTGGGTTCATATGATGGGTTCTTCTCCTTATATGCATTGCTTTCCTCCTCTTGCTTATTATACCTGATGTATTTTTTCAACTTGCTCTGTCTTTTTTTTTTCTTTTCCATTATTCTAGAGGTAGAAACTTTGAGTTGTTCCCTTTGCATATATTTCTTGCGCACATGCATGAACTTTTTTTTCGATTTTATATTTTCGCAAATCTTGTTCGCCTTTACCAGTGTGTGGTGCTTAATGCGTCTGATAGGATAAACGTAGTTGGGTCTCAGACTCAATACCTCCTCAGTGGACACGAAATTCAGGACGGTTTTATACTTGGTGTAGAAATATAAGAAGAACAGCAAATTGTTATTTATAAACGCTAGAAAGTAGTAATTCTTGTCATGTAATTCTTTCAACGAGCTGTGCTCTTTCGTTTGGTATTCGAATTTATTCATAATTAGGTACTTATAATTTATTTTATTTTTGTGGGAAATCATTTTTTCTATCAGCATATTTATATTGCTAATGTCCGAAGCGTGTTCGCTTTTGCTTTGTCCTCTCTGGTCTGTTATGTTCGCATGTCTACTTCGTTTCTGTTCTTCCTGCCTGCGGTCTAGACTATTCAGACTGTTGTTGTCGCTTCGGTTTGGGTCCTCAAAACTGTGGGACTTCTCAAAGTGGGGTCTCTCCAAATCCACCATGTTGGATGCACTTGCGAACGATGCATTCCATTTGTTTCTATTATTGCTGCTGTTCCGTGAAGACATGCTCATGAGGCTATCATTCTGTGGCTTCCCACTTTTATAAGTGTCAACGTAGTTTTTCAGAAGATTGTTATATAGCAGGAGCCCCTTCTGAAAATTATCCACATTCATGCACGAAGACACGTGCGACACGGTAGAAAAAGATATCTCTGGGTAGACGGAATATACGTACAGGAATGAAAATGTGCTGATGGACAGTTCGGTGAAGTAGTTAACTAAATCCATGATTGTCCTGTTGTGCAAAGTAAGCCTTGTATTTTTCAAATCCAAAACAAAGTCGATATTCTTTATGCCCTCATTTGCTATGACACAAACCTGATTATTATATAGTTCTTGGTGCATTTTTTGTAACACCATTTTTCTCCTCAAATTTCCTTTGAGTAAATCTCTATTCAGGTGTAGGTGATTAAACGTGCGAATGATTTTGTTGCATAGGTGTAGGTACCTCCTCTCTGCATTATTCCCAAGGAATAATCTAAATTGAGAAATGTTGTTGCATACATTTATTTGGTTATAGTCGTATATAATAAATTTGTTCAAATATAAGTAAAATTTAAATCCTTTTTTAAACTGGGGTAAATAGAAAATCAAATTTTCTACACTAACGAACCACTTATTATTCTCAACGATGCTGTTTAGGATTATATTTTTCTTCTTCTGCTTGGATGTCATATTGTTATATATCTTCTTAATGTACTTATAAAATTTATTTTTCACTTTTTTTTTGTTTACTCTTCGCTCATTTTTCGAATCGTCATCCATGTGGTATCCACTGTGGGTCCAAAAATTGTGGAAGCTTACGGATTTTCCATTCTCATAATCATTAAATTGGCCCACATACTTTCTTAGCGAGATGGAATGCTTTGTGTATATACTGTCAGAGAAGCTGTTGCTCTCTCTCTTGTGTCTTCTTTTTATTTGTAAAGCGGGCTCTTTTATTTTTTCCCCCTTCGATAGATGAAACGGTTCACAGGTCGATCTGTGTCTTCTACCTTCGTGCACTTCTTCACGCATTTGTGGGACTGTCTTTGCGAGGTTTGAGTCATACGACAGGATGGAGTTGATCGACGTGGACTGGGCAGAGCTCACCGGAGAAGTTACCGCGGATGTGCCTGCGGATGTCCACGCTGATACCGGCACTGAAGTGGGTTCGGAGGAGCACAAAGACGACGCAGTTGGCGGAGTGGGCATAAATGATGCCCCTTCTTCTGCCTCATCATTACTCGCGAACCGCCCGAATTTATGCACCTCATTGTTCTTTTTTATCATATAATCGTAGAGAACATTTTTGGTGCTTCCAATCAAGCTGTCCTTGTTGAGGGAGCTGTAAGTATTTTGTTTGTCATTACACCTTGAGATCTGTTTGTACATGTTAAGTTGGCTATTACTATCACTTTTCCGTCTCCTGCCTTTTCTATGTTTTTTTCTTTTTCCTGCCTTTGTGGTATCGTCCGTGTCATCCAGATCCATTTCTTGGAGCATATTCATTATGTCTTGCTTCCCATCCTTCATTACGTTCCTCACCCTTTTTATCTTAAGGCTTGAGAACTTCATTCTGTACTTGTACAAAATGATACTCAACACGTCATTCACATTTTCTTGCTTGACAAAATTGTTCAGTATAACTGTACAATACAGCTGTATAGAAATTCTCTTAACTTTATTAGCATTAATAGAAACTATGTAGAATGAGTTGTCATTATAATAATTTGTAAGTCTATTGAAGATGAGATTATTAATAGTGCTCGAAAAATGTTTGGTTTCCATCGACTCAAGATTTGAAAAGTCGTTGGAGTGATTCGCTTTTGTTCTCCTGATTCGTTCATACTTCTCCTTTGACATGTATACATACTGGCTATTGTAAAAGGGGTGCACATGATCCACTAGAAAATATTTACTTTCATAAATGTAGGAGCAGTCAAGCACATTAACGTCTATGTTTTTTATGTCCACATTAATTATGACTTTATTATTTTTTAATTTTTCATTAATTTTGTTCGTAAGGTTGTTAAGGGAATTCATCAGACGGAACAACTTTAGCGTCTTCGGCGGGCTAAAGGTTAACAGCTCTTCGGGTGTTTTCCCCTCCTCTGCAACTTGCCTCGAATTTTCCTCATCATGGATGGTAGAACATTCGGTGGCATCTACCCCTTCAAGATTCTTCTCCATATGTCCTCTTTTTAAACGAACCTTTTGTAGCCTTCCCGGACCCTTCTCATGCTCGTACGAATTGACCGCACATTCACTTCCTGCATTCTCCAAATGTTCACTCCACCCAACTGTCTGCTTGTAGTACTGCTGCATTTCCTTATGCTTATGAATGATATAATCCTTGGTTTCCTTTATATCGTATGCAATTAAATTTTTGTTTAAATTATTGACTACGTAAAAGTTGCATGTTGAAATGAAGTATGGATCGAGGTTAATACTAGAAGCGTGCAAGTGAATGTAAAAATTGAAGCACTTCTGGGTCTTCTTATTACTTTTCTTCCCATGCTTCTTCAAGCTTCTCTTTGAAAGTCTATTCCTATTGTTCGTGTCCTGATCGTAACATTCTACCTCCTTTAGAGAGACATAAAGGTGGTTTGCCTTCCAAGAGCTGCATTTTAAAAAGTCTCTCTTATATATTAAGTAATTATGGAAGCTGTTAACATGGTTTTCGCTAAGACGGGTGCATTTGCTTGGTGGACCTGTTACGTTCTCATCATTTTCGAACAAATCACTCGCGTCGTCATGATAAAATGTTTTTCCTTGTTCCGCCCCACATGCGTCTGTTATGTCATTCAAGGGATGAGTAAAAGTGGCACTTTCCTTTCCCTTGCTTCTTTTTTGTAATGTTTCCTCATTATTCATACTGTGGTACTTGTTCACATTGAAGTGTTTATCATTCGCCCCAAACATGAGTGCTTTGTTTTTCTTTTCCCTTTTCCCTTTCTTCGCAGGATTATCAGTGTTGCGCCCTTTGGCCTTCTTCAAGCTTCCTTTCGTATCTGCCTTGTGCCTCTCCTTCTCATCATTTGTATTTACCTCTAAAAGTTCTTTGTCCATTTCTTGCACCCCTGAAGCTCTTTTCTCCAACATGTTCCCATCTAATTGTTCATTCCTCACCATGTTTGTACTTTTCCCATGCGGCTCATCTCCACCGTTGGCATGTGATACCCCTCCCTTTTTACACAACCTCGGTAGATAATGCACACTTTCGTAGTATTTGGTTAGTAGCAGAAATTTGTATACATTTCTGTAAGACGCTGAAATGTGCTTATAAAATATGGGCACATAGCAACAAACAATATTTCCAGCGGCGCAATCGGGACTACCTTTACCATTCAGACACATACATCTAGACACCCTCGACTGGATCCTGTTTATATTATACAAATGATGAACATTAAATTTGTTGAACCATTCCAAACTATATACGTGGTTAATGTATTCTACAAACTTTAAGTCCTTCTCCACAACATAGTTATTGTTTCTCACGTTGTCATAATTCATGGCCTTCAAATTAGCATACATGTCGAAACGGTTTTGTAGAAAAGAGGGATTATAAAAGTCATTTTCATTCCTATTCGCTTGAAAATAATTTAAACCGTTAGCATGCTTATAATTATACACCAGGGGTTGTAAGTACTTTTGCTTCCCTCGTTTAAATCGTCTCAAATAGATGCAGCTGAATAGGTTTATATTATACACAGATAGCTTACACCTGGAGAGCTTCCACAAGGCTGTTTTTTTGGTGTCTCCTTCTAATTGTGGATATTCTTCTTTTTTTCTTTTTTGGTTTCCTAATTTGTATTCGCCCCGTTCATTATTTATGGGGACACTGTGAAACAAGTGCCTACATTTCGATTGGTTGCCTCTCGTTTTGTTCTTTTCCTTTTTGCAACTTCCCATGTATTGTTCATCCCCAACGTGGTAGCAACTGTCTTGTTGGGAAATGCTCACAAAGTTATCACTGCTTTGGTCGGCAAATTTTAAGACGTCCTCCCCTTGACCCTTTGCGTCTTTTCCTTCCACCCCAGAGATGCACTCCCTCTTCTGTCCATTCACGCTGCTCAAGTCGTAGGATGCATTGTTCGTACCATCTTCTGTATGCATAACTCCCAACGTGCTGCTATTCCATCGAGCGGCCTTTTTGTGTAGAAACGCGGGGGACTTGAAACTGAACAGGCTCAGCGATCGCTTGGTGCTGTTGTCGTTCTTCAGTATAGATTTCCAGGTGCCGTTATTATTTCCCATAATGTTGACAACAGAATTTAGGTGCTTCAAAATGTTCTTTGCGTGCGACACTTTATTCATGCTGCCACTGTGGGCACTACTCCCCTGAATAGCGGTAATAGGTTCACCTTGCCTAGTTTGCATAATTTCGCTTCCCCCTGGTTGCGCAAGGTCATGTTGCTTATAATTAAACAGAAACCTCATGTAAGAACGCTGCTTTCTGATTTTCCTTTCACTAGATATGGATTCCTCTTGGTTCATTCCACCACTAATGTTGAAAGAGTTATTCCTCTCGCCGTCATGCTTCTCCATTTTATCATGAGTGTTGCAGTCGCTGGTCCTTTCGGGCGATGAATCCTTCCCACTCCTTATAACCCCTTTTATCACCTTTAGATCATAGATCAAATCGGAGTTGTTGGCGTGTTTCCTACTCATCCTGTGTGACATTCGTTTGTTTACAGACAGGCTACTGTTCATACGCCTTGCTATTATGCAGCTGTCCGTGAGGGAGTTTTCCCCGCTACAGTTTGTGTACTGGGATTTGTCACTCAACCTGTCGTAATATTTCTTGGCAAAATTCTTGCAGCTGCTGTGTGAGCTCCTATGTGTGCTTCCATTTGCCTTCCATTTCTCTGCAGCATGAGTTTCGTCCCGGCCACAATAGGGTTGTTCTTCGGGTAAATAATTCAACATTGCCTTGTCGTACCTTTGTAGAGTATTTTTGTCCTGTAAATAATTTTTATTATTATTTTTTTTTTTTTTTTCTTCCTCAATTTTACACAAAAAATTAGCATTCACTTTGACATCAACAATTGTTAAATGCGAAATGACATAGTTGCAATTCTTCATAAGGATAATATAAAGAAAGGGAAAGAAAGCATTTATGGACTTTTTCTTATTTTGTGTACATCTATACTCCAGTTTAAATAGAAAATTTAAATTTAAATTGTATAGATCTTTGTTCATTATTCCAATATGGTCAAAATTTTCTCCGTCCTTCTTCTTGTCCTCTTTGCAATAGTTGGAACAGCTATCAATAAAATTCATATAATCATTCATGTAGGCGTGCACTTTGTTATTCTTCTTGTAGATATACTTGAAGCGGTGGTAGTTAATAAGATAGCATATGTTGACATTCTCGGAACACACAAATAGGTTAATCTCTGCACTGTTTTGAGACTTTTCTTCTTCCTCTTCCCCCTTGTGTGTGTTCCTCGTAGAGGTTGGCGCTTCCCCCTGTTGCTGTGCAAATGCGTGACATACTTTTTTGTTCCTCCTTAGGATATTTTCAGTAACATTATGCCTTTCTCTGTTGCTGCGTCTTCGCTTGCAATTGTGCTCAGCCAATATGTTCTTCGATAATGTATTGATTCTATTTTTCTCATTGTCCACATGGACAATATTTTGACTCACTTCCTCCTTTTGATTGTCACTTCCTACCTCTAAATTTTCGTACATCGCATTGATTACACTCGGAGGAGTATCATAATTGTTCTGTAACTCGTCATGATAGGCACTGTTCAAAGATTGATCGTTTGCCAATCCCTCAGACGTTGTATTCAGGGTGTTATCTCCATTTATGAGCCGCACTTCATGAATCTCCTTGCTGTGATCAGATTGTGGGGGGTCCTCCTTTGCAAACGTGATGCCTGAACAAATGACATCTCGCTTCGTGTCTGATTTTACAACACTGAGATCACTCTTTGTCCAATTTCGTGGGTTACCATTTTCGTGGGAAGTTATATTTTCTTGCGAGTTAAGATTTGGGGAGAGTCCGTGAAGGTTGCCACTCGTGTCGTCGAACCTTCTTTTCGATACGAGTCCTCCACACGTATCATCCACGGCAATTTTTCTCTTTACCTTCCCCGACTTGGTGACCTTTTCGTGGTAGTACAAATCATTGTACAGACCTTTGCTCACAGAATTGTTATCAATATTGCTCCCATTTTCGACTACGCTTCCCCCTTTGACACCACAAAGGGGGTTGCCCTCACATTGTTCATTCTGATGGAGCGCGTTCCTTTGGATGTTCCTTTGTGTCCCATGTTCATTCTCGGATAAATCGTAATAAAAAGTGTTATTGGTTAAATTGATGATATCCTCATTTAGCTCATCCATATGTTTCCTTTTTTGATCTAAAATATTATAGCTAATGTCATTGTCTGCATACGTCTCGTCTACAAAACTGTCGTTGCTTGATGTACGCAGCGTGTCCAGCACTTCATGGCTACTTAGCCATTTCTCGAGGGATACAACAACCATGTCGTCGCCCTTTTCCTTTTTCCTCTTCACAGGTCCATGCTCCACATGATTTGACTGGCTGCCTCTATTCCGCAACGTGTTCCCGTACCTGCAGAGCAGAATGTTCACTTTTTCTTTCTCCTGGATGTACGCCAAAAAGTAATTTATCACAACACTATTTAGCAAAACGAATAAGGTGGAGCTGCAAAACAGGTTGAAATTGTTGAGAGACAGTTTTACAGTTTTTTTGTTGGTCTCTTTGTTTATGTGCATATCTAGATGCAGCTGCGGCTTGGGATTTTTCACTTTACTATCATAATCGATAAAGAGCTTAAATTTTTTTCTTGCCAAAATGCATACATACTGATTAAAGAGTTCGCTGTTTTTTTTTTTTTTGAGACTGGACTTGGAAACACTCAATATATTACTTATCGAGTCGGTTAAGATGACATATTTTTTACACGTATTCTTTCGCACGCCGGCAACTTTTTCTTCATCAAATATATTGTCCGCTTTTTCACTGATCTCCTTTGGGAGGATACCTTTCTGGGCCTTTCTCGAAACGGTGAGGATGTAGAAAAAGTATAGCGTGTTCATTCTCAAGGATACATTTAGATAGCTAGCCATATGAGTCAACTCACTCATAAAGTCATTGCACACAATTTTGAATATACCTTCATTTTTGTTACAAATAGCAATACTTGTTTTGCTTATTAGGAAGAAAAAAATGAATGTTTTTTTTTTCTGGGGTTTGTCTTCCCCCTCTACTTCTGTCCCATTCAGGTTGTCCACCTGTGATATGTCCACATTGGATATACATTTATCAATAAAAATTTCATCCCCCATTATTGTTTCTCTATCGCCTAGTACCTCATCAAAATTAAACAGGTTTCTAAGATTCATGTATTTGCAGTGTTCGTCGTTGTACCTCTTGGATGGCTTCAACAAATCTATGTCCTTATACTGTTCCTTCTCATCTTGCATGAATAATTTTTCCTCCTTGTTGTTGGCCTCATTTGGCTCATCCTTCCCTTTCCATGCATCTTGATTACTTCCTTCAATGTCATTGTAGTACGAATTACGTTCTGTCTCCAAATTGATGTAATTAGAATCGTTGCACAAATCAGACTTCTCGTCATATTCAGAGTTGCTCATCAGGGTGTCCTCATTACAGGTGTGATAATCCAATTCCAGAGATTTGGAAGTGGCAGTCAGGTTCGTATATCTGTCCTTCCTCTTTGTGTAGTAATTTTGAACAATATCGTTATTGCTGCTGAAGGAGTGTAGCATGTCCGAACTGTGACTAATGAACATGCTCCTGTTATCGTGTGTCTTAAAATTTTGGAGACCCTCTTTTTTGTTACCGACGTATGAACCCTCTTTACCCTGTTGTGTGACTCTCTTTCTCAAAATCATGTAAAATATTTTTTCAAAGTCTTCTTTATTGTACACAGTTTTTTCATTGTCTAAAATTTTGACGACCAATTTTTTTATATACTTCTCGTAATTCTTGTTAACCGTAAACTCGTTATCCTTATTCTCGGGAGTGTCACCACCATTCGTGTGGTTTTCCCTTACCATATGGTTTGTCTTTAAATACCTGTTTAACATATTGTAGAGCAACACATTCGTCACATCAATCTTGGTCAAGTGCATGGTGTTTTCATTGTTACACACGAGGAACAGCCTGATATTCGTTATTTTGCTGACTCTTCGTTTTATCAACTCGAGGTGCTCTAAAGGCAGTACATGTTTGTGTATTCCAATGAGGGATACACAGATTTCGTTCAAGCTGCAATTTAGGAGATGCACCGTAAAGGACACCACGTTGTCGTTTTTTTTCAGCTTCACCGATTTTATGCTAAGGAGCGCTTCTCTGTTTTTCTTATTTGGGGACACCATGGGAGATTTCCCCGTACGGTTGTCACTTTTGCTGATGATACTGCAACTAGTGATGCTTCCAATTGGGCCATTTGTTACCATATCTGCGGAGCCGCAATTTTCCATGGACGGAGTGGCTACCTGGCCTAGGCGGCCTTCTTCCAAATGCATTTCGCCCCACAATCCTTCCGCAGAATCCCCGCGATCACCCGCATAGTCGCTACTCTTCACATTCGCAAAGCAAGTGTGAAAAATGTGGTCCACGTCCACGCTCCTTGCGCTGAGATAAACCAACGAATCAATCTTGTCAACGAATACGAACATATTTCTCACATGACCAAAAACTCCAATTGATAACAAATTTCGATTCTTTACCTTGTTCCTATTGTTATTATACTGAATATACCCCCTTAAAAAACTATAGTATCTGCTTTTAATCGAGTACAGGAAATTTCTCTTCCTCAGATAGGAAAAGGTGTTGTTCACTTTTGTGTGATAGACATTCGAGTGAGAAACAAAGAGATTGTTAAAAATAATGTTATGTATGTTGGTTATGTCACTTTCTTGCATTCTTACAAAATGATCTAGACTTCTACTTCTGTGGAGGTTATTCCTTCTACCTCTTCCCAGTTCATCTCCGTCATGGTCCTCCTCCGACTCTTCGCAAGTGCTGGAGGTGGTCCCACTAGTACTATCGTGGTTGCTTTGCCCTCGGTGATTATTACTATTCGTAACACCCCCGTTTGTGGTGGTCCTTACGACGCAGTTATTGCTCTCAATGGTCTTATTATCATTATGCAATTCTTTTCCTACCATTATCATTTCAGTGTGGTTTTCATGCACCACAGTTTTAAACGGATCGAGAAGAAGATCATGCTCGATGAACTTTTCTTGACAACACGAGTTTTCCCGGGCGTTGCTCTTTCGTCTCGTCTTATTAAGGAAGCTTCTCAAATTAAGCACTTCGTTTTGTACGTACGAAGAGTGAAAAAAGTAGAACTTCAAATCATCCATGCGAACACGCAAAATTTTCTTCCTTGTTACCTTTTTACATAAAAATAGGCAAATACATTCGATAACATCCTTATCGATGTAATTATCATATTTCAGGAACAGCTCAAGACAGATGTTGTTCGTGGGGATGAAGTTCACAAGTGGTAATAAATTATTAGCATTAATTACGTACTTGCACATGGTTACGTCAATTTCGCTTACATTGTTGGCGTAATCATGAATAGTAATGATTAGGCAATTTGGGACTAGGACAACTTGGTTATTAATTATTCTATCAAAATTCTTGTCGTCAATAGGTTCGGCATTCTGTTTTTCAATATTGTCTAGGGTTTCTTTTTTCTTCTTACCTAGTATAAACTTCCAGAATGTATTTCGATTGTTTTTCATATAAGGATCGCTGTTGTTATTTCCCTTACCTTCTTCATGCTCATTTTTGATATGTTCATTTTCAAGACTTTGTAGATTTTCGACTTGGATTTTGTCTCCTTCTTCTTTCCCTTCATGATGGTTTTCACCAAAATATCCTCTCCCAAATAGCTTGCACATATTGTAGTCTTTAAAGCTGTTCATGCAAAGGATGTCATCTTGGTCGCTCGCTGTATTGCTACAGTTGTACAAATTTCCATTCACACTTTCGCGTTGCGCCCTGAGACTATTTTCATCACCACTCCGATCTGCTTGCGTTAGGCTGTTTCTCTTGGCGCTGTTACTGTCTTTTAATGCTTCCTTGGTAACACAACCACTCTCATTCGGAGGGTCCCTACTTGCATTATTCCCCTGATGCGCTACTCCATTTGCTGCGTAATAATCTGTGCCATCTGCGGCTACCCCCTTTTGTGTTCCCCCCTGTCTCATTAGACCACTTATCATATTCCCTGAATTGTTCTCTATAATTCCTACCTCCTTGGAATGCATGCCCTCGAGCAAGTCAACACAGTCGTCCTCCATATTCGGGTGCCCCCAATGGTAAAAGCCTGCATTGTTTCCATTCGGCTCATGACACAAGCAAGCATTTTTCATGGGTAATTTCTCTACATAGTGAATGCAGTACTTTTTCTTATTCATAACAAATTTTTTATTTTTCTTAAAGAGCACAAAAAGGGAATGCATGTCGACGTTGTGCAAATAAGTGCTCATCTTCTTCTTTATGATCGATAGTTTTTCCTGCTTAAAGAGGAAGGAACAAGCTACTGTATAGGATAGGAGGCACTTATTACCCTTTACACTAGAATTACTGAAGTGACTAAATTTTATGGGGATGTAGTTGAAATTAAAGTTTGGAATGACCAAATTAAATAGCATTTCGTGAGAAAACCATTTGTCTAACTTTTCCAAATTTTCATTGATAATGGACGTGGTTGGCCCTTTCTGGTTTTTAATAAAATTATAGAGTAACTTTTTCCACTCTTTTCTCTTCAAATGGTCGTTGTTAAAATATTCCTTGCTGTATATGCACTCATCGGAGAGAATTCTCAACTTGGTTAGCAAGTGAATAGGACATGAAGCTTCAAACGTTTCCAGAAAATGTTCAGACCCCTCGTCATAAACGTAATTCTTCTCATTTCGCAATTTTCTGAATTCACAATATCTTATGCAATGTTCTATACTCGGCATGATGTTAAAAATTATGTTGCATCCCGCTTTGTATACGAACCAAAATTCTATATACCTCACGAAATTGAAAAAGGAGTCTAATGCTGAGGTGGTGAAAAAGACGTCTAAACTTTCAAACGCAGAAATGTCACTAAAGACAGGGGGGTAGTCATTCTGGAAGCTTCGTTCCATTATTTTATCGTAGTTTCTCAATTCGGAGTTAGAAAGATCATTATGGGGTTCGTGCCCGTTTGGATTATTGGAAATAAAAAACGAATCATTGTTTGCGTCTGCAAGGTTACTATTGCCATAGTTATAACAATAGCAGGATCCCTTCACATGTTCCTCTTCTTCCTCTATTTTTACACTATGGTAAATATCATCTTCGACGTTATCTTCGATGTGCTTCACAAAGGAGAGTTCCACATTCTTGAAACACTTTAAATCATTTTTCAGTTCGCTCAGTGCCTTGACGTCATACTTCTTAAAAACGACGTGCATGTCTAATCCTTCTTTCGCAGTTATTCTGAACCCTAAGTCATGCTTTGGAATTTCAAAGTTGTAATTACTTTTTCCTTTTTTTTTATTTTCTTGCTTACTCTCTGATTCGTTTGGAGAGACCTTTTTGCCAAATCGCCCCGTGCGCATTTTCCTTCGCACTTTTTTTTTTAAGTTCCCTTCTTTTATCCTTTCATCGATGTCGTAGTCACTGAAGGAACGAAACTCTTTTGCCAATCCATGGTTATTTAAGGAGCTCCTTCTTTTGGCCCTCCTCCAGCTGTACCTCTTGCCTCGGTACACAGAACTCCCACTCTCGCTGAACAGATTCTCTATGGCCGTCAGGAAGTATTCCTCTGCAGGGTGGGGCCATCAAGGTGTGTAAGCGTGAGCACATGTAGGTGAAAGCGGATTGTCTCCACAGAGGGAACAAGATTTCCTCAGTTGACACCGCTACATACTTCACTCATTCGTGTTATTTTATTTTTGTTTATTTATTTTTTTTTTTCAAGATCCCTATGGGGTGGAACTTACCCTTTCCGTCGTCGCTTCCCCCTTTCGACTTCGCTGCACCCTGGGCAACCTTCTCACTGTTATGAAGCAAATCAGGCTTCTTTTTCTTGATCTGCTTCTTGTACTTTATCTTCTTTTTGTATTCCTTGTAAATAATATGAAATTCAATCATCCTTATCCATATGTTAATTAGGAAGTTCTTCTTGATATTTTTTTTCTCTTCCTCCGTGAGCTTAACATTGTACTTGTTCAGTTCGTCTATCTTAAAATTATTTATAAAAAATTCAAAGGTAAAAGGATTTTTATGAATATAATTATCGAAAAATACGATTTTGACATTCTCCACTAGTATTCTTAGTGAGTTGACTAGTTTGACTGGCAGTGCTTTTAAAAAACTTTCTTCTTTTTTTTCCTTGGACATATTAATGCTGTCCCATTTTTGCAGTTTCGTTCTTTTCGTCTTGTACTGGTGATTCAAATATTTGTTCGTGTCCCACAAACTTGGGTAGGAAAACTTCATCACCAGGAACAGGTCATTGGCGTAAATATTTATGGGACTTATATTATTTGAAAAAATGGATGACCACAAAAATTTTATACGCAAATTTTTTATGTTCGAGTAAACTATTTCGAAGGGTAGCTCCATAAGTTCGAATAGTTTTTCCGGGAATGGGACGTTCTTCAGCAGGATCTGCACAGGGTGTAGGTGTGTGGTTGTGTCGTTGTATGCTCGTACATTTGTGCGGTGTGGATGGATGGAAAATTTACGATAAAGGACAGATGTGGCTAACAGCTCATTCATGTGCGCATGTCACGACATCGAGCAATGCTGCCGCATCATATGTGTGCCTACTTCCGGGGAGGTCACAGAATTGATCGTCAAATTTTGTATGGCGTCCCATTCTCCCAAGTACTCTTGTCCGAACAGTTTGATAAATTGATTTATTATATTCTTTATCATATTCATTGTAGCGACATTAACGTTAAGGAATCATGAGCCAGGGGGCGCAAAAGGAAAAAAAAAAAAGAAGCAAACCGGCAAACGGGAGCACAAACACATAAGCAAATAAACAAGCAAACCGTAGACCGTCGCAGAACTCCCTCCAACTTCGCACATCACAAATGTGCGCAAAAGTAAGGTGCCGTAAGGGAAAAAAAAAAAAAAAAAAGAAAGTAGTCCTAGCACGATCTAGAGTTCAATCTTGAAAGATCGCGTCCCCTGTCTAAAATACCTACATGTAAATATGTACATACGTACGTGAACGCTTCCATGTATTAACGATAAGCTCTGAAAAACGAACAAATGGTTAGGCAGTGTGAGCAACGGAATAGTGACATTCACCTATATTGGGTGCATTACCACACATGGACAAGACGCCCAATTCTACGTGTCTCCATGTTGCCCCTCACACGTAATTTATTCTTGACAAAATGGGCAAAAATAAAAATCTATTAGCACTCACCACATTCGTGAAGAAATGCACCATACATTTGCGGAACTTGAAACCAACTCAAATGTGCTGAAATAGGGGAGGCGTGTGATTGTACTCACATTTACATCCTCTTGTATGTTTTTTTGCCTTCCCTTTTAATGTTTACCTTTTCCTGAATATTCATCGCTCCTAGGGGAAATTCAGATCACTTCAAAATATATTTCACAAATATAGGGTGTGGTGTAGTGAACTGATAACATGTTGTTCAAAAGGAATAATTTAAGTCATTAATGTGAGAAAAAGCGTACCTATGAAATGCTTTGATATTACAAAATGATAGAACAACGAAAAAAAAAAAAAAAACTGACATAAAAAAGTATACAGCACAGTATTGTATACACAAATACGCATGATGTTGCTTCATAGAGTTGGGAACTTTGTGCTAAGCTGATCAAGGGGCACACATGTGTGCACTGGTATGTATGCATTTACAAGTACACACTATGCCCCAACACCACAAAGAGTGTTTTAAAAACAAGTTGGGCAAAAGCGGAGAGATTAAAACGCGTGTGCAGAGGTGGCACAAACGAAGTGTTTTTAAAAAAAAAAATACATACACATATATATATATACATATATAAGTGTATATGTGATCAAGTTAAAACAAATTGCACAAAACGGAAAGTACAGTGAAACACTACATATGGCCCGCGAAACTGTGCATACTTACTGCATGCGAAAAAGTGGCACAAAGGCGGAAAATATGACTCAAATGTTCGCATTTATAAATAATGCTAAATGATAATAAGCATAACTACGCATGGCGAAGCACTGCTAAGCATTACTGCGTGCCAAAATGGACAAGCGGTCTGGAACAAAAAAAAAAAAAATACTCACGAACACGTAGCATGTAAAAATAATTCCCCAGGAATAATATCCTTTTTAGCACATGGTTAAAAGCGTATCGCAGAAGAAACGCTTTTCATTTCCACACATTCGTTTAATTTCCACGTTCTGTACACATGCGTGAACTAATTTTTTTTTTATATGTGCGTCTTACTATAAAATTTTTATACTTGGCAAAAGCGATCATTTAAAAGAAATAATCCAAGGGCACACAAAACGGAAATTGGAGTAGCAACTGTAAAATGCCAGTTTTGTATTTTTTGCCTTTTTTTTCCCAAAAAAATACAGTAAGGCCAATTTTTTCATTCAGAAAATGAGAACATATGTGCGCACACTCATTTGCATGCTTTCGCAGAAAGTACAGTGATGCTACTATAAAGCATAGGAAACGTATTATGACACCGCACAGGGGGGGAGACGTATGCCCCCACTCGGCATTTATTTATCGTCAATGCGTCTTATTCGTTTTTTCAACTTTTACCACTTTGCGGCCACAACCTGTCGCAATTTTATGCCCACACTGGTCAACCATTATGGTATTTGCATTTTCTGAGGTACGTCAAAATGAAGGCCTGTTTTATATATATACGTCACTGTCTATAAAAGGAAAAGTCTGGCATATCCATGCGTTTGCCTTTTGTTTTTTTTTTTTTGCCACATTGTGTGGCTCGAAAGTATAAATGTCGTAATTCCCATCCCTTGTCTACTACTGTGCCACTCTTTTAAAGGCGAAAAGAAATCGAACAGTTAAAAAAAATATCCCAACATCCTTTGACAGTTTGCCACTTCGTGTGGTGCATTCGAACCACCACCTTTTGTTTCTTTTTCACACTTGGCAGCAAAATGGGGCCATTTAAAAAACAATAAAATTAAATAATACTGTCATATAACCTGTTAAATAATTCACTAAATAATGCACAACATACGCAGTAAAATAATTGCCTAAATAATAAGCTGAATAATCTGCTAACCTGGTCAAATTACAACTGCTACAACCTTTGTAGCCAATTCGCGGACATTGTACCCAAACGGGGGGGAAAAAAAATGGCAACGAAACGCGGCAAAAAAAGTAGCATATGAAGAATGCTAATTATGCAAACGCGCTGAACGTAAACGAATAAAACATTTAAAACGTTTGCATTTAGAAACCACTAAATGAACCATTTTAACGTTTTGGAAGGACCAGAATTGTAGCTGTATTTTTTTTTTTTAATTAATCCCTACCTCCACACGCAATCCAAAAGCATAGAGCGCAAAACAAATATTTCCTATAACAACAAATTTTGACATCCCGTTAGAAACTCTTTTTTTTTCTTGTTTCAACTTTTGCTGGTAAATTTTTCTCCAATTTTGTATGCATAAAATTGTACCCTACAAATTGTGAATGCACGACTTCAACAAATGAACGTATTATTTTAGCTCCATAAGACTACGTAAAATTGGTGTCGTCCTAACTACACGCCCTTTGTATGTTGCTTTATCCTGTCGCTCCGCTAAGGAAATTATAATAAAGAATCAGGAGTGTTCTACTACCACTGCTATGGTGCAACGGGAATCACGTACATATTGAACAAAAACACATAAGTTCACGTAAATTGACATGCCAATAAAATACGTACGAACGCATACATTAGATGAACATACAAAGTGTTTATTGCCTCAAAAGTGCCAACTGATTCTGTTGTCATTACATGTTGACCCATTTTTCGGTTGCAACAAAAACACTTTTAAATTTTTAATTCAAAATTGAAAAAAGCAAGAATATGTTCTAAATGAATGTACTTAAAATAGCTTAGACGAGATGGTTAGGCCCGAGTATTCTTCCCCCCCAGACATTGTAAGGACAAAAAATAATGGAACAACAGGCACAACAATTGCTCATCAGGATGGATGCAATGCTATATGCGCAGTCTACATTCCCTGTGTGCTCATACGTACACAACATATGCCGTAGTATACTCGCCACAAACACCATGTCGCATGTCCATGCCCGCCCACAAAAATTACACCTTTACAGTTTTATAACGAAGACGAAGCCAAAAAATACGTCCGCAATTCCAGAATTAGGGACATACAATCCCAAATGACTGACCGAGCTTTGGAATTGCTCGTACTCCCGGAAGTAAGTCAGAAAGTGGCATCACTCAATTAGGCATGTTATCCCTTTCGAATAATCTGCGTGAAGAATGTTTCCACGCGTTCTACACGTTTGGCGTTAACCATTTCGCTGTTTCTTGGTTTTCCCCTTATAGAGCCCCTGCTTGCTGCTAGACATTGGATGTGGATCCGGCATAAGCGGAATGACCCTGAACGAATCGGATCACTTTTGGATAGGAATTGACATCAGCATTCATATGATAAGTACGCACAATTTTTGCACCCCCGTCATTTTGATGTATGTCCCAATTATGGGTCCATACTTCTCCGGATGAACATATAAAAGCAACATGTAACGTTTTCCTTCTTCCTCTTTCCAGAAGCGGGATTGCAGAATGAAGCTCACCACGGAGGGGACATGATTTTAGCTGACATGGGAAAACGTAATCTTCGTGATGTGCCCACATGCAAAAGAAAAAGAAAATTGCACATTGCGATTATTACATGAATGAGATGAGCACACTAATGCATACTTGATTAAACAGCATGTGTGCGCCTAACCTACGTATTCACTTTTCAACGCTTTGCAATTTCACCATTTCCCTGCTTTGCTGTTTTTTCCCCGACCTTCTCAGTGATGAGGTTCCAGTCCTGCATTTTCGACGGAGTAGTCAGGTAGCCACGCCGTCTTTCTTACTCCTGATATATTTAACGCTCTTTATTCTAAACAACGGAGAGCATTTATTTACACAAGTTTGTATGTTTTTTTCGACGCACCATTGCAGCATATCTGCCCTTCAGTGGCTGTGTAACTGGGACAAGAAGGATGAAAGTCCCAAAGTGAGAATTAGCACCTTCTTTAAGTGGTTATATAACTGTATGAAACGAGGAGCCAGAGCGGTAAGCGTCAACACGAAGTGAACCCTACCCACAGATGTGCGCTTGTTTTAGGGTTCCAAAAGGTGTCTACAACGCAGTGCAGTTAAAAACGCGTTCCCATTTAGTGTTAAACTCATGAACGCGCTGTGCTTATCTGTGTGCATGCGTATAATTATATGCACACCTGTGTTCATTCATCACCCCCTGGTGATTACCCCCCCCTTTTGCAGGTATTTCAGTTTTACCCCGACTCGGCAGAACAAATTGAAACCCTTACGAACTTCGCCATGAAAGCTGGATTTGGTGGTGGTGTTGTCGTGGATTTTCCAAATTCAGCAAAGTCGAAAAAGTAAAAAAATTAAACATTCTTTGAGGGATAAAAATGCATATATTCATTTATTCTTACATTTTTTCGCGTTCCCTAATGCTTCCCAATTGTGTTTTCATTTTTCCGCATTAGATATTACCTATGCTTGTGGATAGGGTCCGCCGTCGTTTCGCACCTTCCGGAACCCTTGGAGGACGAGGAACATAATGATATTGCGAGCACAAACAGGAGGTAAAAATGCCACAAGGAGGAGCTAGCTATGTGCACATATGAAATTGTGCTGTGCGTGCGAACCATGCGTGTTTGATCGATGTGTTTGCATACGCTGCTGAGTTCATTTTTTTTTTTACCATCAATTATATTACCAAAATTGTGCATGCATCAAGATAACCATTTACACACGCGCAACATTCTGATCACCACAACGCAGACATAATAAGAAAACAAAAAAACAAATAAAAAAAAACAAGGAATGGATTTTGAAGAAAAAGAATCAGAGAAGAATGAAGGTAAGTGAACGGATAATATGCTTTTCCACATTTCCAATTAAGCAGCAAATTTATATACCATTTTGCTTACCGTTTTTACACCGGCATGTGCATGTGTGTCAATTCGTTTTTTTTTTTTTTTCCACACACACCTTTTTAGGGACTGGACGTCAAGAGGGACAGCAAATACACAGGAAGGAAAAGGAAAGGCAAATTTTAAGTCCCCCGCCTGCCCTTCAATGTGTTCTTACGTTATGCGTATTATGTTTTGTGTAGCTTTTTTTTTTTTTTTTTTTACAACATTTGAATATTTTATTTTTCTCAAAAATTTTGCACCACTTTTCCGTTACATTTGTGTGCAACTTATTTGCTGATACCGCTTTACACTTAATAAGTGTTAATAAAAATTTTATGTTTAAGCTGGACTAAAAACAAAATTGTAAAATAGTTCCCCCACAAAATAGGGAAAAAATAAAAACAACTAAAATGTAAACCTTTCGGCAGGTTGACAAAGACGCTGTAAAGCGGGAACGAAATTTTTACAAATTTGGATCAATTTTGACGAATATTTAAAAAAAAATTAAAAAGCACAACAAGGTACTTATCATGTATGTTGGAAAAAAAAGCAATGAATGCGCATCGCTCTGCTTCGCTTTCTTTCTCCCTATTTCTTAAGCAGATTGAAATTCTTTATTATTTCTTCACTTTGATAATTTTGATCAAATTTTTTTATAGCTTCCAACAGTTTTTCACAGTTCAGCTCCTTCTGCAGCATAAGGGTTTGGAAATAAGGGCAAACATATATATGAGGTATCCTATGCATACGTTTATGCGGTGCAGTGTGTGGGCGAAAACAATCCTTCTTTGGTGCACTTATGCGTTTAGTACACAGAACAAGATCTATAATATGTTTTATTTTTTGCATCATAATCATGTATGTGCGTACGTATGGGTACCTTAAGTTCTCCCCTGTTGTCATTAACCTTCTGGTTGTGATTGCCATGGGGCGCTTCGCCGGGCAGCAAGACCGTCGACTGATCTATTAGCTACAAGAAAAGGAACCATAAATGGGTATCTCTTGTGAACCAGGTGAACATTTTCTTTGATAAGATAGAAAACAATGCCTCTACACAAACCGTTTGCAAGAAAACTTCACTTTCAAGCTAGATTGCAAAAATTTCCTTTCCATTACTTTGTCTATCGATTTATGCAACATGAGAGAAATGAATCTGAGGCAGGACTTTTCCGTTACGCTACATCCGCTGTACGAAAGGTAGTAGTCAATCAATTCTTCGCTGAACTGGTTATGGGTAAGAACGAGGAGATGGGGAAAATTGATCGGGGGGGGGGGGGCTTCGTACAATCGGTGCGTGAATATCGCATACGTAGTTATAAGTACGCACGCGTACTGGGTAGATAAAATTTGTTTATACACATGTGAACATGCTGAGCACAAACATTTGGGAACTTCCCAACGAAGACTATCAACAAAATGACACATAGTTCTTTACCTTTGGTCTATTTTTAAGCAGTAGTTTCAACAACTGTTCATCCTTGTCGCTTATGAAGTTGTCATCCATCATGTGGCAGCCGCGCGTAGTTAGATACTTCAATAATGTGATTTTTGTGCATGAACATGAAAACACGAATATTAATAAGAGTGTTAATTTATTTCCCCTTTTTTCTTTAACCATTAACCAGGGAGAAAAAGGAAAAAATTACGGGCTTAACCTTTGCACAGGTTTGCCGTCGTCCCAACTGAAGCAGCCACATGAATTGTCACAAATATGCAAACAGGTAATTTCAAAACCGTAAACATATGTGATTATGCATTATGCGTGCCCTGAACATGAGCCAGGAAGAAGCAAGCCTTCCGAAAAGAAAAAAAACAAAAAATATATTTCCGCTGCCGTTAGTTTCATAAATCCACCGCGCGGATGTTACGACTGAATGAAGAAACTATGAAGCGTATTTTTTGCATGCGTTTAAAGTTGCCGCGCTTTTGAGTTTGCCTTTTCCTGGCGTTCCTCATAACAGCCACGCTGATATTTATTTCGTGCCATTTTCGACAGGAACCTAGTCGTCAACAAGCGAGCATTACTTGGTAAAAACTATTGGTAATACCATTCATTTTCTTATTCCTTTTTTTGGATCATTTTTTGCGGGTTATGTGGTTCACCTTTTAAGTCACTTTTTTTTTTTTTTTTAAATAGCCCACGTGCGAATTAGCTGTTCTTTTTCTTTCGTTTTTGTTTCGCTAAAGGGGACTTACACATAAAGTGTAATGACATTACGCTCAAAGCGCGCAATTAAGAAGTTTAAATCATTTCCCCCTCTGCAAAAAGAGCGGAACAGCAAAAAAAAAAAAGCAGAGCCATTGAACGCGGACAGATTGAAACCCCTGTTAAAAAGATTCCCTCGCTCACATGTTTTCTTTCAGCTGAAATTTCCTGTGTTCCCCAATTTCGCAATTCTTGCCCATTTGTACTTAACAATTCCTTTTTATAAGATTTTTTGTATTTTTCTTTGGTGAAAAGATCAATTGCACACGGAACACACTGTGCATTGTACGCTGCACAGTCATTTCACACAGAATAGTTATTTTCCTTTTTTCCCCCTTCCCCATTCGTTCTTATTGCAGTCTTCTTCACAAAATAGCAGGTTTACGTAATTTCTAAGCAGTGCACATGCATTTGCAATTACACAATTTAAACAAAAAAAAAAAAAAAAAAAAAAAAAAAGGCCAAAAAAAAAAAAAAAAAAAAAAAAAAAAAAAAAAAAAAAAA